TGTGGAGTCATAGCAGGCTGCAGAGGCTGGGGTGGAGGGCCTGGGCTGCAGGCCACAGATTCCACGCAGTGGGAGGAGAGGTGTGCATTCTCAGCTGGCGCTGAAGATTGACAGGCATGCCATATGCGGACCCTGGAATCCCAGCTCCGTGTGGCCATGGGCTGGGCCCTGGCCAGGCCTGCTGTGAGCTGGGCTTGGCATTCAAGGTCTTCACGGCCAGCCCCAAACCACCTATGTAACCCTGGAAGTCTGCTGACTGACAACTTAGGGTGTGCATGCTGGCAGCCTAAAGCCGCACACCAGGGGTTGGAGGGGCTGGCGAGGAGAGTGCAGCCTTCGCCCCAGGTGGCTGCCCACAGAGCTCTGAGCAACAGCTGTTTGGGATTGCCTCATATGAAACCCAAATCCAGCCCAACCCCAATCCCTGATCTCCCTCTTCACGTTTTCTTAAAAGACCACACAACCATGCAGCTCCGTGGAGGGAAGCCCTCCTGTGTGGCCACAGCCCTGGAGTCCACCCCCCACTCACTCCCGCTGCTGCCACCTCCACTCTACACGCTAGAAAGTGCCAGAAAGCACTAACCACGCTCCAGGTACGGCTGTGAGAGTGCCCATGGCCTACTTCGTTGAATCCCTCACAACTAGAGAGGTATTCTCCCCATTTTTATAGATGAGTAAATGGGGCACAGAGAGGTGAAGTCACTAATGAGAAGCCACAAAGAAAGGGGTAGCAGAACTGGAAAACCTCCACGCCTCAGCCCAGTCTCCTGCCGCAGTCCGCCAGCATCCTCCACACTCATCCACCAAGAGTGTTCTGAGTGTCTTTCGTGAGCTGCCAGCCATACGGAACAGTTTGTCATGCCCCTGACGCGACACCCCTCTCATCCGGCCAGCCTTTGCCCGCAGTTGCAGCCCAGGCCAGCTAGGGCCTTCTCACCTCCGCCCCAGACTTCGGAGCCATGTACACCTGGCTCTAGCCTGCTGAGCAACGTGAACTGGGCCACATCACTTGTGGGGAAAAGCAGGGCTGGGCGCGTGTCTACTCTAGCTGGCTGGACCTCCGTGCTCTGCCAGACCCTCTTCAGCAACCCACACACCTCTCCTAGGCCAGGGGCTGGAGCTTTCTACCAAAAGGGAAAAGCCAGTCTTCCCAAATGCTGCGAGATGAGGCGGCCGAGGGTAGAGCCTAGGTACCACTCTCTGCTGCCACTGTCTACACCCCTGCCCAATGTGGGTCTGACCTCAGCCTAGGAACTTAGGGTGGTTGTACCTCTGAGCCTCTGTTTTCCTATCTAGCAAATGGGAATAGGGCCTTTCAAGAGTTCTCAAGGGTGTGATGGGTGTGAAAGGGCTTTGCACACTGAAGAGAACTCTATAGTGCAAGAGGTCACGGCAGCTACTGAAGGTATCACAGAGCAAAGGCTGGAAGGGAGGAGCTGGGGGTCAAAGAAGTCTCCATGACATCTAACCTGCAGGAGTGAGTCTGCCAAGGAGAGATGGATGGGTAGGCAAGGGGCAGTCCAGACAGAAGGCTCTGCAAATAAAACAGAGTAGACTCCCCATATCCTCCACTGCCCAGCCTGGTGGATTTGGAAAAGCACAAAACACCAGGCCACCAAGGTAGACAGGGGCAGCGCTGGAAGGTAAATGGGGCGGGGCAGGAGAGCCTTGAATACCACTACCTGACGGAAAGGGCTGCCGTTCCACCCTGGCCAAAGCTTCTGTCCTGGACTGCTTGGGATAAGCTAGATGCTGGCACCACTGACCCTCCTCTGCAGGCAGGAGGGTACCATCGCTCACTGGCAGATGAGGCTTATGGAGATGAGGGGGACTTGCCCAAAGTCATCAGGCTGGTAAGTAACTGGTGGCGCCTGCACTCGAACTCAGTTCTTGGCGCTAAACCCCACAACTGCTACACTTACTCAAGCAGGGTTGGCTTCATGGGCCGTCACACAGGGCTGCAAGCTTAGAAGGACCCTACTTTGCTGTCATCATCTTGAAATCCTTTATAATTCACGAACAAAGGGCTCTGCATTTTCATTTAGCATTGGACCACAGCTGAATTATTAGCTAGCCCTGATTCTAGGAGACTCTGATGGGTGTTGTTGGGTGCAGGTGCAGGTGCGAAGGGCCATGAGTAAACTCTCATTTTTCTGGGACTCTGGTGGAGCGGAGCCTTCTGCTGGGTCTTCCTTGGCCTTTGACATCAACCTAGCAAATTTCTCTTTCCAAGGCCCAGCTTAAATGTCACCTCCTGGGGATCCTTTCCGATTTTCTTCCATAGGGGAACCTACCACCTATGCCAGGCAGAACCCTGGCTCCGTGTGCTGTGGTCCCACACTCTGACCCTTTAGGAGGTCACAGAGCCTCCCAGTGGGTATGCAAACAGTGGCTACCTCTCCAAAGGCCTAGGACTCCTCCAGGCCTCTTGGGTACCCCAGAGCTTTCTGCTGGCCAAGTTTCCAGAGGACAATCCTAAGGATGCTTTACAAAGGAGTTGTGGAGAGGAAGTTACTAGTTCATGCTAGAAAGCAGACCCCAGAAAACAGCCTATCTTTCTACTTGCAAGAAAATGGCAAATATGCCTGCAAATACTAGGTCAGAAATAAAGCCCAGATAATCCCAGAAGCCTCCTTGGGAACCCCCTCTAACATGGAGGGGCTCTCTGGGAAGGAGGGAGGGAAAGGAAAAGGAAATGTTGAATTGAGGAGGGTACAGTGTGGTTAATAAGCACCCAATCCTGGCTGTGCTACTTCCTGACTGAGTGGCCTGCCCTCTCTGAGCCTCATTTTCCTCATTTGCAAAGTGGGTAATAAATGACCTATCCCTGAAGGGAGATCATGGGAGAAAAGAGCATAAATGTTCACATCCGATGACCTGGATCTGAAGCCCAGCTCCAACACGCATGAGCAGGTGTCCCTGAGAACCTCGCCTACATTTATTGTGCCTCGATTTCCTCATCTGGAAATTGCTCGGTAAGACCTTCTTCTCAGGCTTCTCAAGGGGATTTAGAGAACTCACGGAGGCAATGTGCCAGTCTTTTGGCAGGGAGCCAAATGTGGTTGCTGTGCCAAAGCTGGGCACTGCAGGCTCCCAACTCCTCAGGAGTCAACAGGGAAGTGCAGGTGGGAAAGCGGGAGCAGGGATGACACAGACCCCCACCACCTTGGGGGAGGCAGGCAGGGTGGACTGTCGTGCCCATGATTCAGAGAGTACCAAGGCCCCAGGGGATGAGAAGCCTGGAGAGCAACAGCCCCAGCATCCCCACTCTGCCCGTAACCTATTTTCTTCTCATGAGACTACTAGCTTCAATTTGTTGAAGCCCTGCAGAGTGCCCAAAATTGCTCTCCACAATCTACACAGCAGCCTCTCATCCTTGCGGCCACCGTATAGGAGGTGGACGGGGACGATTCCTGTTTCTAGATGGGGAATGAGGCCCAGAGAGGGCAAGGGCTTGTCCATGGTCGGTTGCATGGCTGGCCCTCAAGCCCCAACACCCTCCCCAACATACACACAAACAGAGCTCCAGCTCAGCCTCGGCCCAGGCTGCCCAGAGCCTCCCAGGACCTGCTGGAAGCTTTTGCTGGTGCAGAGCTATCGACCTCTGAATTGCCTCTTCTTGTTGGAACGCACCCTGCATTGTGTGTGCGTGGATATGCAGCCCCGTGTGTGTGAGAATGCTGTGTGCTTGTGAGAGTTTGGGCTCATGTATGTGTGTAGTTCCAACAGGAGTTTGTGAATATGTATGTGAGCATGCAAGTGCATGCAAGTGTTATCTGTGTGCACTTACGTGGCACGCAGAAGCGACGTCTACGTACACGTTTGTGAGGAAGTGCGCATTTGCACGTCTGTATTATCTGTGCACTCACCACCATTCATGTCTGTATGTGCATGCACATCCTGCCAGGTTCTGCTCCATCTACTGCTTCTGTCTCCCCATACTGTAACTCACTTGGGGTCACCTCCCCAGAATTCTCCCCCCCAGCCTCTGAACCCTTTCCACGCCACTGCTACGGGGCTTGCCACATCATCGGGATCTTTCTGTTTCTCCATGGAGCAGAGACTGGGACAGGCCCCTTTCCCTTGCACTGCAGTGGGTGCCTAATCCAGGAGTTGGCACACAGTGTTTAATACAAGGTTAGGAAAACAAACATGAGGTGCAGAGGGAAAGAAAGCCTTATCCAGCCTACACACCCCTCCTCTAGAGGGCGCCCTGGCTGCCACCTCAGAGGTACCTGGAGACCAGGCCTGGTCCCTGTCGCATCACATCACATGTGATGTCATGACTGCAGACCCACGAGGAGCCTGTCACCTGGTAAGAGCCCCCCTCCCTTTTTCTTGAGTTGGGACAGGATCCGGCACTTCTGAAGACACCCATAATTGCCCAGATCCCCACTCCCAAGAAGAAGCTAGGAGCAAGGCCAGAGGCAGAGTAGGCCGGGGGGGCAGTGCCTGGCACACTGGAGCCACACAGACCTGGACTTGAACCCTAGGCTCAGCTAGGTGTGCCGCCTGGGGCAAGTTAACGTCCTGAGTGAGGTTCAGTTTTCTCACATGTACAATGCTGGTGATTACAGCATGCCCTCATAAGGCTGCTGTGATGCTGAAAGAAGTAACAACTCTACAGTACTTCGCACAGTACCCAGAATACAGCTAAGTGCTTGTTGGGTTAGAGGATATCATTACTGTTATTTCCATAGACTAGAGTAGAAAGCTGAGGCCCTCTAGAAGGAAAGGGCTACCCAAGGCTACACTGAGAGTTGGCTGCAGAATAAAATCCAATGTCTAGGTCCCAGGTCAGGACACTCACAACTCTCCTCTGTGTGGCTTCCTTTGAGAGGAAAAGGCCAGGGAACAAATAAAGACTGAGAAAGAAGCCCCACCCCTCCCCAGCCCTCTGGACCCCTGAAACAGCACCATGCACTCTGGGTGGCCCATACTCCCTGTCTGCCCCACATCAGCAGGTGCATAGCACCAGAGGGCCAGCCCATCTTACTCACCTGCTCAGGCCTCCGCCGAAGGACCAGGACTCAAGTCTGCTGAGAGTGTCTGGAGGACGAGGCAGCAGCCCCAGCAGCAGTACGAAATCAGAATACAGCTGCCGTGAGTCCTGTGGGAGACAAGAAAGGGGACAGTGAGCTCCACGCTCTGACCCTGCGGGCAGCCCCTCACCCACATCACGGACCTCTAGGTCCTTGCTGCCATCTCCTGGAAGATGGAACTGGCCCACCAACATGGAGCTACCCTAGACACTGGATACCGCCCCGCCACTGCCAAATAAAGGTCGCAGCTCCTGAATGGCACATTCGAAGCCCCAGCTCCGGCCAGGCAGCCCTGCAGCCCTGAAAGCCACAGACCACAGCAGCAGCCAAACCTGCCCGCCCACCACTGGGTTCCAGTCAGTCCAGCCTCCCAGAGCCCCTGGCTCCGGCCTTGGCACACGCTGGGTGCCCCAATCAGAGCTCTTCTCCCCACTTCTCTGTCTTTCAAAGGCCCCTGGCCTTCAAGACTCTGCTCAAGTGCTTCCGTGGAGCCCTCTCCCACCTGCCCCTCCTTGCTCGTTCGTCTCCAGTGGGCTGTGCACCTGGCCAACCCTGCCTCCTCCCGCTTCCCACCGGACACTCTCCCACTCCAGGCCCAGCTCCTGGACATTGGGAGTGAGGTCTAGTTTCTCTCTGTCCTCTGAACTGGTTAACAAAGACCACAGAGACTCCTTGATGGAGGAATGGTGCCGTGAAGGTGTGCAGTGAACAAACAGAACAACATGGGACGACTGAAGGCAGGAGGCCTCCCCGCATCCCTTCCTCTGTTCAATTCTAGAATATGGGGCCAGGTTGATGAGAAGAAAGAGACTTGGTGAGGTTGATACTTTTCTCTGTCATTTTACAAATGAGGAAACTGAGGCCCTGAGAGGGAAAGGGTTCCTCACATGGTGAAAGGCAAGGCTGGAGTGAAGTCCAAACCTCCTCAGGGATGGAAGCAATGTGGCCGTCTTCCCCCCAGCTCCTGCATTTGCAGACCCCTGGCTTCCCTGACTGTTGAGGGTCAGGTCAACCATGAAAGGCAGCTTCTGGGAAAAGGAGAAGGCAGTGGGAGGCTTCTGGGGTGGAAAAAGTGCAGCAGGAACGCTCACCCTCAGAAAAGAGGGATCAGCCTCAGGGCTCCACTTCTCCCGACCTGGGGGCCTGAGGCTCAGGGCGGGCAGAGGGGACATCATGGGAAGCCCCTTCCAGTGTCCACGAGATGCACCTCCAGCCCATCTGGGTCTTCTAAAGTCCCCTTCTGCTGGTGGGGCACACACTAGACACTAGTCCCACCACTCTGAAGAACAGTTTGGAAGGGTCTCTTACCCTGTGACCTCTCCCATGACCCAGCAACTCCATGTCCACAGAAAAATGTGCATATGTTCACCAGAAGACATGTGCTAGAATGCTCGTTGCAAGGCAATTCATAACAGTCCGAAAATGAAAACTTCTCAAATGGCCACCAACCACAGAATGGGTCAACTGGTGTTTCCACACAACAAACTGCTGCACAGGCTTGGGAATGAGTGATCTGCAACGTCATCCAACAACACCACGGGTAAATCTTGCAAACATAGTGTTGACTCAAAAAGCCAGGCACAACAGAGAATACACTTAAGAGATCCATTTATATAAAGGTCAAGAAGGGCAAAAAGACTCTACGCTTGTAATAGACGAAATACGGCAGGGTCCTCGGGAGTTCCTCCTATCAAAAGGTGGAGTCTGTTCTCCACCCACTGAGAGCTGGCCTTGAGAGTTGTTCAGATCAATAGGATTCAGTGTGAGTGACATTTTATGAGTTATAGAGACTAGGCCTCAAGAGGTCCTGCCATTTCTAGCCTTCCCTCTCTTGGGAGGCTGCAGGCCATGGAGGGAGGTGTCTGTCTTCCTGGAGGGTGGGGAACTCCCCCGGCAACAGCCAGCACCCACTGCCTGTGTGACTGAGGCCGTCTGGACCTTCCAGTCCAGCAGACCCTCAAAGGTGACTGGAGCCACATGAGCCGAAGGGAATCGGGGGAGGAGCCAAAGGGAATCGGGGGAGAAGCCCAGCCAAACCACAGAACTGTGAGGTTTCATAAATGGTGTCTGCTTTAAGCCACCAAGTTTTCAGGTGGTGTGCTGGGCAGCAGGAGATAACTCACAGCAGGCTGGAAGTCAGGACAGTCAGTATCCTTGAGGCGGCAGTGACTAGAGGGCACAGGGGCTGGTCTGCAAGGTTCTGTTTCTTGATCTGCCTGGCGGCTACAGAAGCATGTGCCCTTCAGGATAATTTGTCAAGCTACAAATGTAGGAGATACACACTTTTCTGCATGGGTGTAACACTTCAATGGGAACTAAAGACAAATCTTTCCGTGGCTCTCTGCCCAGGTGAATCAGGTCAGCCCCGCCCTGGCCGGCTGGCCTCTGTAGCCCATCCCCAGCCCTGCAGGCTCTACGTCACTCTTTGGTGCACCTCCACAGGCTGCATCACACCTCCACCCCAGGATGCCCTTCCCCTTCCTACCATGCTCAAGCCTGCAGTCAGGTGGCACCTTCTCCTGGAAGCCCTCCCTGACCTCCCCAGGCCTTGCCTGGGTGTCCATATTCACACAGTTCTCTCTCTGGGGCTGGGTCTTCCCCAGGGTGTGTAAGTCTCTCTTCTGCCTTCCCAGCTCTCAGAGATCTCTAAGCAGAAGCTCTATCACGGTTGGGTGGCACCCCTATTCATCTTTCCCCAGGGTCGAGACACCCCCAGCCATACTGTGAGGGCAGAGCAGGTTTCAGGGGAGAATGGGGGACTGGGATCACAAGATGGGTCAGCTGCCAGCACAGAAAATGGCAATTCTCTCCTGGGGTCCCAGCCTTCTCCCACGGAGATGGAGGGTGGGGCTGAATCTGGGGATGCGGTAAGGGGCTAAGAGTGCAGGGTTTATGGTGGGGATTATACTCCCCATTTTGCAGTAGACCATGATGCCCAGTAAATGTGCGCCACTCCTCCCCTCTTAATTATCTATTAAAACAAAATTGGGAGACCCATGGTAGTAGTATAATGCTACACCCTCTGGCAAAACAATGCGAACTGCTGGGCAGACAGAAGGAAGAGCTGTAATGCCAGACAAAGTCTGGGCATCGGCTCCACCAAAATCCTTCCACGTATTGACTCCATGAATTGTCCATCAGCCCCGAGTGACTGAGAAGGCGGAAGCCCTCCCACGTCCGACCTCAGGTGAGTGACTGGCTGGGGCCTCAGCTGATCCCTAAAACCAGGGCCTTGGCCTGGCCACCCCTCTAAGGGCCTCTTGCCCCCATATTTGCAGCTCCAGCTCTGTCCTAAATAGGTATGTGGCCTCTGGGGAAATCTCTCAGCCCTCAGGTCCCCCCAGTGTCATCTAAGAGCTATGGCTGACACAACGATCTCTGATGAGCCAGTTTTCTCTCCCGTGGGAGGAACGGAGTTCCTGATAGGCCAAGGTGGTGCTCAGGCCCAGCCTCTTTCCACCTTCCTCAGGGTCCCCACTGTACCCGCGATGATGCTTACCAGCTGTAGGATGATGCAGCCACCTCACGCACTACAGGCAGGCCACAGCACCTGTCACCTTTCTGCCTTCTACCTCCAGGACCTTTTGCTAAGAGAGGAAGCTCCTTACCCAGCAGAGAGGCCCAAACAAGCCAGAAAGTGGCGAGGCTGGGAGAGGGAAAGACATCAGATCCCAGGAATCACGGTCTGTCCCATAGCAGAGAAAACTCCAAGCCCACAAGGGCAGCTGGGTAGGTCACAGCCTAACATCAGAAGCAACTCTGGACTAGAGTACGCCTTCCACAAGTGGGTCTGCTACCTTGAGAGGTGGTGAGTACCTCATTCCCAGAGGCATGCAAGCAGAAGGGAGCTGCCACATGGTACCGTGGGTGCTATAAGCACCAGAACAGAGCTGGACTCTGTAGTTCCCAAACTCCTCTGCTAAGAATCACCTGGGCTGATTGTTAAACCCACAGCTTCCCAGGCCTCTCCCCTGGGAATGGAAGTCTATGGGTCTGGAACACAGCCCAGAAATTCAAATTTTTAGCAAGTCCTCTCGGGTGATGCTCTGCATCTGGAAAGTTTGGGGGAGCACTGGCAGATGACCCTCCAGGTCCCTCTGAGTCCCTCACTCCACTCCACCACCCACACCCCATCTGGAAGACACCACCCGGGCAGCAGCCTTACTGCATCGTTAAAATAAAAATGATTTAGAAGCTTTAGGAGGGGGCAAAGATGTCAGGGGGAGGGGAGATTCTCAGCCCGTGGTGATACCGGCGGCAGCTCCTTCCTAGCCCCCCTGGGCCCCCCAGAGCCATCCAGAAAAAAAGCTTAGCATTTGAGAGGGGGGTGCTGACAGCTGTTCAGCTGCTGCTCAGTGAGGCCCCGGAAAAGCAATTATCTTGCTCTTAGCAGAGAGGAGCTGGCTTTTACCCGCCCCTTCCCTCCCTCCCTTCTCCCTCCCACCTTCACACACACACACACACACACACACACACACACACACGCACGCACACACACTCCCAGGCCAAGATGCTGTGGCTGGCTCTGAACCTGCCTTCCCCCACCCCTAGCCTCCAGATTTCTCCGACTCACTCAACCTCCATCCTCAGAGCACATTTCCAACACTTAAATCATTTAGCCCGCTAAACCGGAGACGGCGAAATGGGTGCTATTTCTTAAAAACATACAGAGAGCGTATTAAATTATTGATAGCCATTAAACAGGGGGAAAAAATTAAACAGCTCTCAGCTCTTATCAATCATTCATGCAGTTTCCACTGGGGTGTTTTCTGGAGAGTGATCACTCTGGCAACCCGGGGAGCCAGCTCCTGCTGGGCAGGGAAGGCTGCCGCTGCATGGAAACGGAGGGGGCCACCCCAGTCCCCAGCAGTCAGCGGGGCAGCACTGCCCTCAGAGGGGATCAGGGGCAGGGGTCGGGCAGGCAAGTCAGCCTCTCTCCATTTGCAAACTCCCACCTCCTCTTCACCACACCATTAACAAAGGGAAACTCCAGCACTGCCTTCAGGAACCCCCTTAATTAAATCCAGCCTGCTTTTATTGAGCTGATACTACACATCAGGCCTGTAGG